CCTGGGCGCCGGGCCCCGGCGGCCCGAAGCGCGCCGCGAACACCTCGTCGCCCTCATGGCCTATGAGCGAGTCCACGTAGTAGTTGCTGAGGGTGCCACTGGAGGACATTTTGAGGCGCCGCGCGCTCCCACCCAAGGTTACACTGCCCGCCGCCGAGCCGCTCCCCGCCGGCGCCCGAGCCGCCGACTAGTTCGCAGGCTGCAGCCTCCACCATTGGTCGCGCGGCCCACGTGATCATATTTACCAATACCCGGAGTAAATCAGTCCGCTAAACTGGGGGCTGCTGCGATTTAAAAAAAAAAAATCATCATCATCAACGCAAACGCTGCAATTAGAGCCCGCAGGCCTCGGTCCAGGTTTGCCCGCTCGGCCTGGCCCGGTCCGCCGGGCGGTGGCGGGAACCACAGGCCCCAGGGCGGCCGGAGGAGGCGCTGGGGACTATTTGTTCGTCTCCTCTGGCCGCTCGGGGTCCTGCAGTCTCGACCCGGGCTCGGAGCCGTGGACCGCGTGTCTCACTCACACTCACCCAGCGCTGGGCCTGAGCCCGCAGCGGCCCCCGGCGCGCGGGGCCCGGTGCCGCCCGAAGCAGGCGGGCCTTCCAGGGCGGCCCCCTGGCGCCCGAGGGAATCTGTTCGCCCCTTGCCACTCTTTCGCCCTAAACCCACCCCGCCCCGCACATACCCACACACGCTCTCACAGCTTGTCGTGTTGTTTAAAACAGGTGGAAGACCTCTGTAATGATATTATGCCTTTCAATAAAAATTTTATGAGGTGTATTTGATTATAGATTAATGTGTCCCTAATAAAACGGACGGATGGAGCAGCTCGGAGGGCCCCCTCCCCTTGCCACACTCACACACGCCCCGCGCAGCCACACACATCCTCGACGTGAGGCTAGGCGCGCGCCGAGGCCTGAGGGGTGAAACGGAGCGGCCTGGCTCACGGGCCCGCCCGGCCGGGAGCACCAGCGGCAGCAGGGGCCTCTGTGTGCCCTCAGAAGGGCGGGCGAGTGGTGAAGTCCTCTGGGCTCAGACAGTGATGGCCAAGGTTCCTCGTCTTCTCTTGGGCGGCTGGAAGGCCCTGGAAGAGAACAGGCCACAGAGGGGAAAGACACACACGCTCCCACGGGCCCTCTGCCACCCGCGGCGCTGGCCCTGCCTCCGTGAGGCCTGCGGGAACCGCCGTTCCCACGGCACAGTGGCTTGGGACCCATTCGCACGGAGAGGCCTCCAAGTGGATCCGAAGGTGTCTGGAAAAAAAAAAAGAGTCTGGCCTGATAACCAGGTCTTTGGGCCAGTCCCTTCCCAAAATTTCCCCCCTTGATTGCAGAGGTAAAGCTGGGCAGCCTTGAATCTGAGAGAAATGCCCATTGTCACTCCCAAATCCATGGTACAAAGCCTCGGAAGCTCTGCTGGGAACCCAGACAAAAGCTGGGAGCTGGCGTGTTCCTCGCTCTCCAAGTTGCCCAGGGCACCCTTGGAGGGCTCCCAGCTCATCTCCATCCCCAGAAAGAAAAGGGGTAATGGCTACTTATTGCCTGATTGATTGCTTTTTGCCAATGGCTTTCTGATTTTGTTCCAGAGGGACTGCCCTTTCCTGTAGCATAGGTTTACCTCAGAGACATGCCCCCCTAATAACAGTTAATGTTGCTCCCCACATCGTGCTTGTGTGTGTGTGTGTGTGTGTGTGTGTGTGTGTGTGAAGACTGCCAAGGAAAAACTGCCCTCAACCAAAATAAATCAGGGACAAATCTTTTCCAGTATTCTTAATCTAAGGTGGATTCAGATCTATCTCCCTCATTCCCAGGAAATGATACCCCTAAAGGGTTCTGTCTTGGAACTTGGGAAGGTGCCTGGTTTGGGGGAAAGTTTAAAATTGAATAAATGGCCAGTTACCTAAAGACTCCCTGGATTAGGAATCTGAGCTGAGGCTCAAGAAGCCTAAATGGATTACTCTTAGGGAGAAAGAGGCTGGGGTGAAGAGGACCTGCTTTGTGAAACTCCTTGAAACTCCTGGAGACCCTTTGAAGACAGGGAAAATCTGAAGCAACGAATTCTCTGTCAGCTTTTTCCTTCAAATCCTCTTCTCCTTTTCCCTGTCAGGACTAGATAAATTTGGACTCGGTGAAGATTCTACAAAAGCTGGTGAGAATTTCACAAGCCATGGCTGTAAATGGAACTTTGGATGAAGGGAAGTTGTGTTCACTTGAAAACACATTATCAGTCACCTTTTCTGCATTTTTTTTTGCTTGCCTCTCATACATTGGCTCCAACCAGCATTCTATAATTAAATAGCTAGAGATTTGACGGGGGAGTCTGTTTTCATATTTCCTTTAAACTTTTGCACGTGGGCTACTAAAAGGCAATAACTGAGCATAAAATTGTTTCACAAGGAAACCAAGGCAAAGTGGGATGGGAAAACTCACCCAACCTTGGCTTCGCTGGGGCCTGGCTGTCTTGCACTCAGGATGGGGTAGGGATGAGCAAAGGGGGAGCAAAATTGGATCCGATGCCATGCTAGACTGATGTTCTTGTTCCTGTAATGGAGGCCGGGCAGATTCCAGGTGGGCAAGACTAGTGTTAACCTAGCCCCTGATGATGGTTCCCCATCCAGAAATCACCAAAATCTCACTGAAAGTATTAAAACACACACACACACACACACACAACCAAAACTAAAGAGCAGAATCACACAAATGGGAACTGAGAAGAAGAAGCCGCTTGGGGGCTCAGGCTTACTTACCAGGCTCAGGCTACAGGGAAACTTAGACCCATTGAGATAACGACTATATTATTATGATCATGATCGGAGACAGGGTTCTTCTCTTCTTTTCTCCAGTTATGAAAACTGGACTCTTCTTCCCCCACCCTTTCCATCCCTGCCATATTCCAGCAGCTTAGGCTTCTCCAGCTTTTCTCTCCCATCTCTTCCATCTCCCTTATTGCTCCCCCACCCAACTGCCCCCAAACACTTTCATTTCCACCATAAAATATTTCCATTTCAGAAAGCAGATGGAGCAAACTCATTTCCAGAGTTTATTGCATTATACATGCGACCAGAACATGCACAGAAAGGACAGGTTGCTGTTGTACTTCTACCAAACCACAGATGCACCACAAGGGAAAGGCTACAAGGCATAAGTTGTCAATATTCCATTTCACCAAGGACATTGCTAAGTTCATTTGTGAAAAGATACATTGTAATGTGCTTTTTTAGTCCCCCTCCCCCAAAGCTTGTGGGTTTTCTTATTTTTTTAAATATATATGTAATTTTTTGAAGTACTGGATGTATTCAAAATGCCATGAGTCCATGGGCTAACCACATACAGAGAACTTTTGTGTTAGGAAAAACATGAAAAAGTCACATTGCTGGATGGTTGAATGGATGGATGGTTAAATGGATGCTCCACAGTTCCAATAAGTTAAGACCCAAATGAAAATGCGCAGTATTAGTTACCCTGCATTATGATGAAAAAATAATAATAAATTACACGTGCTAAGTTTTTTAATATATATATATATATATACTCATAGGGATTACAGATCACTTGCAGCACGAACAGAATGACCCCAAAGTCACATTCTAGCAGGAAAACAAAACAAAACAAAACGAAAAACAAAGAGCAATGAAGGTTTTGTTTCCGCCTTCCCAGTCCTCCAGCACTGGGCCCTGGAATGCGGTGCCCCTCTCTGATCCCGGCCTCTCACCGGCCTCCGACCTAAGAAAAGGTGAGGTTGGCGGTCAGTTCTCGGATCCGGTTCTCTCGGCTCATCTTCTTGAGTTTCATTCGGCGGTTTTGAAACCATATCTTGACCTGCCTGTCGGTGAGGTTAACGCTCTTACTGATCTCTAGGCGGCGCTCGCGGGTGAGGTACATATTGAACAAGAACTCTTTTTCTAATTCCAGCGTTTGGTGCTTAGTATAGGGGCACCTCTTCTTTCTGCCACTCTTTGCAGTGAGCCAATTGCTGGTTGGAGTATCAGACTTGATTTCCTCTAACAAAATTAAAGGGAGAAGAAAAAAATCAAGAATTTTTTTTTCTCTCAGTCTGTTCAAATATACCCTTGGCCATGACCCTGTTGACAGGAACGCCACTTTGGTCAATGCTTGATATTAAACATTACTTAGAGAGATGGGCCCTGAATGTACCTTAAAATGATGCCAAATTAAAACTAAATGTCCAAAGTAACACCATCAGAAGGTATCTGCATCAAGGATCTCTCTCTCTCTCCCTTTCTCTCTCTCACATGCTCACATGCACACACACACACACAACTTTCTGACTCACACAAAACATTAGTATAATAAACTTGCCAGGATCTCTAGCAATATTCTAGATGATCACCTCTTGACAGGGCAGAAGTGGAGGAAGCCATGGCCTGGGCAAGCCTGCCAACGTCCCTGCAGCCTCTGGTCTCCCAGTCTGTCTCCTCAGGGAGACAGACTCTGAGGCAGGCAGGGAACCCCTAGCCAGGTTTAGCTTATAGGTGCCTATCCTCTTTTAAAAGACAAAAGTCTAAAGAAAGGATACCTTCTTCACCCTGTCTGGACGTTGTTGCCTTCCTCAGAATTCCCCAAATTCTCATGCATTTTTGCTCCTACACAAAAGCACTCCTCCAGAAATGTAACCCCCAGTATGGCCCACCTCTGGGTGCTGGAGGAGAGGTTTAGGGGCCAGATTCCATCTCAAAAGCCCAAACCTCTGTCTCTTTGCCTTAGTCAAGCCTTAAGGCTGGCCCTGCAAAGTGGGCAAAGCAGATCCATTCTCGCCGCTCTGCCTTTGCCCTCTTTGTGGATGGACTGCAAAGCCTGCAGCCCTTTCCCCAGACAAAGCCAAGGTTACCTAGCCAGCCCCACAAAGGCAGGAAGCGCTGTTCTCCTACCCAAGCCCCAGCGGCCCAACCATCTCCTTCCCCTCGAAGCTCCCAAACTCGCTGGATGCGGGGTGTATACTCTTGAACACAAACACCGTGCCTTGGACCACCTGAAAATGATCATTGGGTGCAAAGAAAATCAGGAATTGCAAATCTGAGCAGGGGAAAGGAGGCTCTGGGACCCTGTCTGTGAGCCGCAGGTCTCCCCAGAGCTCTTTTGTTGCATTTCAGGTCTGGCTCAGGAAAAATAAAGCCGGCAAGGCTTTGCTCTGCCCCGGCGCCATCACCATGGGGCCAGGACTGGCCGGGAAGGCCATAGCAGCGCGAGAGAAGCGGGGACCATCTAGAGGCAGAGATCTCCCCTCTAAAAGCCGGGCGGAGCAGCACCTGCCAAGTCGGTGCTGAGCTCCGCTGCCTGGGCTCCGTGCTGGGCACCCGAGCGCTCCCTCTCCGCCGGGTTTCCGGACTGCGCGCCCCGCTGGGGTGGCAACTCTGCTCATACCGACCTTTGCTTTCCTTCTCCTGCACTTCAGGACTGGACACGGAGACTTCAGCCAGGCAGCTCCTTTCTTCGGGAAGGCCGCCTTTGGCCTCTGGGCTCTCCACCTGGGACACTTTGGTGGGCTCCTGGCCGCTTGCGGTCTCGTTCATCTTCTTTTCCATCTGCAGCTGGGCAGCCGAGAGCTGCGGCTTGGCCGCGCCACGAGGGTTGAGCTGGAGCATGACAGTGGAG